TCGTGGCTTTCCAGGGCACGTGAGGGAGCATGTTCCCAAAACTCGGAGGCATATTCAGTTTTTGATGCGAACCCCTGTTTATCGGCTCTGACGTTGTGTTGTGAGGATTGTCTAGGTCAGGGATAATGCAGTAAACATAATGAAGCAAAGCTACACCTAAGGCTTAAACCAGGCTAGCTGCAGGATCGCTATTCTCCTGACAAATAAGCTTTAGAGTTGAGGGTTGCAAGGTAGGTTGTCAGGTCAAAATCAGGCTTCCGGTTAATGCTTTGGGGCTAGGATGAGCAATCATGACATTCGTGCAGTTCAAGTCTCAAGGTTTACATTTCGAGTAGTTCTTGTGCGAAGGGGAGGGTATCGAGGGTAACATCAGAGTCGCCATTGCGACCACTATCAGGGCCAAGGCCTGCCCTTCATGTTAAAGTTAACGTTGTATTGGATGAGGAATCACTTCAACTTCACTTTGGTTCTTAAGGTTAATATTGGGGCTTGATCTCTAGTCTGCACGTAACTATCAGAGTTCCTGCTGGAGCTAATATCGGGCAGATGTCGAGCTTGGGTAATAAGCATAGGCTGTAGTGAATAATGTGTCACGGTAAATATGGGCATGGGTGGTGTGTAATGCTATGACGGTTAATACGGTTGATGATATAAATCTTGCATTACCTCAAAAACCCTAAACTATGGGAATTATGGTATATTCCCTAATCTGATTCATGCAGGATTTATATCACCAACAGTATGAGTATTAGATAGTATTAGTAAATGCTCATGTCAGGTCGGCTGGCAGTACCTCAGCGAAACGCTGTATTGAGGCCAATATGAGGTTTGTCACTTAGGCCACGTAGTTTTCAATAGAAGAGACGTTGGGGTTGCTGTTGGAATCCATTGCTCAGTCAGATATGGAGGGCCTCAACAAGGCTTCAACATCCATACTGCCATACTAGTACTGCTGTTGCGACCATAATAACTACCAGGTAGTAATTATGTTGGGGGCCAGCAGCACTGTGTATCTTCAGCCACTTCCAATAGATTTCAGTGAGCAACACACGGAGGACAACACTGCATGCTATCGTGGATTTGATTTGCATGCAGCTCTAGAAGGATGGGCTATCACGCTGACACTCATAGTAAGGGGAATATGACAAGCAGTGTCATTCTTAGGTCTATTGCTCCGAAAAATATTATTGGGTCCAAAAGACTTCAGTTAGCAAGACACGGGAAACAACGACGGCAACCTGTTCTATACGGGCATCAAAACCGGTCTTCTGAGGTTTTGACGGACGGTACAAGAGTGCCTATAAGGACTTTTGATCAATGACCCTGCTTTCTGCAAGGGTCTTACTATCACCATTATTTGGGAGGCGGGTTCATGAAGTACTCTCTTCTCCAATAACCGGGTCCAGCAAAAGTTCAAAATCTCTATCATTGGACCAAATATGAAAAGTTGAAAGCTCTCCCACTAGCCAAGTAAATGATAATCACGAGTGTAACATTGAGGTCTGAACGTTTAATGGCAGCATCCCTGCACCATCCCGATATAACTTTACACCGTAATACGGTGCAAACTGAAGATTTTTCTTGAGGCCTTCATATTGGACCCTGAAAAGCCATGCAACACCGTTCGAGGACCCTATGCACTTGTTACGGCCCCTTTTTTCAACATCAACAGTGCTGTCGATCTTCGACTGAAAACGATTTGGAGCTCCTACGGTAAATGGACTTCTGGGCAATCTAGAGTTGAGGGTCGAGTGTTTCGAGCTCAGAAGGTTCGCGGCTAGCGTGTACTAGGTCTAGGATTCGGGATTCGGGGGGGTGGGGGACGTGTCGGGCATCGGGGGCCTTCGGTTTCATGAAGGAGCTCCAAGAGGACAGCACTGTAAGTGTTGCTCCGTTCTGTTTGGCTGCCGTCCATGCTTGGTGATGGTGCCTGGTGTCTTGAAGATTTGCAATTAATTCTGAGTTTAATTCTGCTTGGCACTAGTACTCGGATTAAACTCGTGATATCACCATCGTGACTTTTCATGCTCTGCTCATGCCCAATTGTCTTGAACATCTCTGCTGTCGCCACCGCCCTCGGGATCCCCCCAGCTGAGCACAGAGCCGTCGTTCAAGATTGCAGCCAACGCGCCGCTGGAGGCCTGTATCCGCTGCACATTAATCAGTTGCTGTTGAATTGCAGTGCTGTCCCCGCCAAAACCGGAATCACCCCAGCTGACCACCGATCCATCACCCAGGATGGCAGCAAATGCAAAATTCGAAGATTGGATCTGCTGAACATCCTTCAGCTGCTCCTGAACAGCACTACTGTCGCCACCATCTCCAGGATCACCCCAGCTGACTACAGATCCGTCACCTTTGATTGCAGCGAATGCGCAAGACGCAGCCTGGATCTGCTGCACATCATTCAGCTGCACTTGTACGGCACTGCTGCTGCCACCATACCAAGAATCACCCCAGGTCACCACAGACCCATCACCCAGGACTGCTGCAAAAGCGCCGCACGAAGCTTGGATGTGCTGCACATGCAGCAGGTGCTGCTGTACGCCACTGCAGTCGCCACCAAATACGGGATCACCCCAGGCGACCACAGATCCATCACGCAACACTGCTGCAAAGGCACGATTCGAGGCTTGGATCTTCTGCACATTCCTCAGCTGCTGCTGCACGGCCCGGCTGTCACCACCATGGTCGGGATGACCCCAAGTGACCACAGATCCATCACTCCGGATGGCAGCAAATGCAAAATTCGAAGCTTGGATCTGCTGAACATCCTTTAGCTGCTCCTGGACTGCACCACTGTCGCCGCCACATTCGCGATCGCCCCAGGTGACCACAGATCCGTCGCGCAGGATTGCAGCGAATGCCCCATCGTTGGAAGCTTGGATCTGCTGCACGTGCTTCAGTTGATGCTGCACGGCACTGCTGTCACCACCAACGTCCCGATCACCCCAAGTGACCACAGATCCATCATGAAGGATTGCAGCAAAAGCGCCATAGCAAGCTTGGATCTGTTGCACATTCTTGAGCTGCCGCTGAACACCACTGCTGTCGCCACCATAGTCATGCTCACCCCAGGTGACCACAAATCCATCACCCAGGATGGCAGCAAATGCAAAACTCGAAGCTTGGATTTGCTGAACATCCTTCAGCTGCTGCTGTACGCCACCGGATTCTGGACGACCCCAGGTGACCACCGATCCGTCTCCGAGGAGTGCGGCGAACGCAGCCCAGTACACATCGAGTCCGTCAACATCGTGATCTTCTTCCGTCTTCGCCCCTGTAGCTGCAAGCTGCCCCTGTTTGACATGTAGGGTCAGCACGTCACCACTCTGCAACCTGGCTTCATGGATAGTTGCTGCTCTGTCAAGCACCTCTCCAGAAGCATTCAGCAACCTGCCCTTGCCAGTCCCCAGAGCCAACTGGGCGCGTTGTGTCAAGGACTCAACTGATGCATCCGCCTCCACGTCAAGGGAGGCTCTCTTGCCACTCAGCAGATGCACATCCACCGAAATTGACATGATGCTTCTTTACTCTTCGGGGCAGTCGCTACAATCAAATGCCACACCTGCAATGTGCAGCACCTCTGCATCGCCTTTGGTGGCGACAACAATAACAAAAGAAATACCAGTAAAACTAATCAGCATGCACATTGACATTGCAATATACACGTGTACAGAGAGAGAGAGAGAGAAAAGAGAGGAAAAGAAAGGAGAAGACCAAGAAGATGCGTGCATGCGTACATATTTGAGTCTCTTCTATCATTCTGACCCGGGGATTTTGCGGGTCACTGGTTCGGACCACTTTAGCGGCTGCAGGCTTTATGGCTGCCGGTACTATTTTCGGGCTTTGGGCTCTAAGGTCTTGAAGGCTGCAGGGCCTTCAGGAGCTCTAGGGCTTCGATCAACTCTTCTTTCGTCATTCAACCCCTATAACATTAAGCCCAGTTAAAAAAAAAAACAAAAACGTTACTCGCCCTTAGAGGGCTCTGGCCCTAGAGTATTCCAAGCTCTTCCTGCCCCGTTTTCTTTGGAGCTTCTGGGTTGGGGCTTCAGTGCTTGAGGTCATGTCGGGGAACCTTGAAGTCCCTGAGTTCCACATTCCTCCACCGTCTCAACTCCAGGAATCAGGGTCCCTGGTCTGAGGGTTCAAGGCTTCGGAACCTAATTCCAATACTCAGCCCAAGATGCATAGATGCAGCCCACGCAGGCGTTTTTGTCCGTGACCAGCTGGAAGACCTTTGCCTCCGTGCATGGCAGTTTCGGGCTTAAGCTGGTCTGGTCAATGGTCTACGGTTATGGGAGCGTTGTGGGCCATCCATTATGGAGTCTCAGGGTTTAGGGCTCAAGGTGGCTGAGGGCTCTTGGTCTAGGGTCTCGGACCAAGCGGATCATTTTTTGACATATTCAAGGATGCAGAAGCAGCATAAAGCAAGATGCAAGCTGTAGTCATGTATGAGACGCGCAACAACGGCAGTGGAGGAATAACCGCAATGGTAATCAGAGGGAACCTGGCCCAAGCCCAAAACCATGGTCCTCACCACCGAACTTATCCAAACTGTAAATTTCAATGCGGATCAAGCCGGCCTTGGTGATAATGCGGGCCAGGTCCGTTTTCTCAGCGACCTGGTGTGAAAGAGACTGGGAGGCGTGTAATGGGCAGGTGGGTGAGGAAGCTTAGGATTCCTCAACAAAGCCAGAAGACCCAAACCCTTAAAGGCCCGACCTTCTCGAGCATCTGGATCAAGGCATAGGTGATGGTCATGCCAGGGAATCGCTCCTTTCCTCGATGGGTGCGAGGCTGCGAGTGGCCACCCAAACCTCAGCCGCAAAAGGGTTGGGGTCTTGCAGGCTTTCGGGGGAAGAAAAGGCTTCCAGGGTTGTAGGCCTTTTAGGCATGCTACGGATACACTTGGGATTGTGGCGTATGATTCTAATTACTCCAAACTAGTGTTGTTGAGTATTCAAGAACTTGCATTAAAGGCTCTGCGTCTTAAGAACCAAGGGCTTGGGGTTTCTGGTTTGCCCCGGAATGGCTTCGATGACTGACCCAAGCCGGGGTTCCGAGGAAACTGAAAATTTAGGCAAGCCACTAAACGAAGCTCTGCTGCTTGATGCGTGGACGCGTGGAGGCAAAAGAAGGTCTTCGTTTCTTCGTCCCGGTCGTAACCCGAGACCCTAAACTCCAGTGCTTAACATGGGAGCATTTGTACTCCTTACAAACATTTTGGGACTAGAAGGGGACCTTACCTCAAATGCCACACCCCAAATCCAGAGACCTTAAAACCCCACACCCTAAATCCCAACAGACCCCCAAACCCCAAACCCAAACTTTAGGGTGTTGGAGGTTGGGGGTCGTGTCGTTTAGCCCCGCTGCGGGCCACGAGGGACAGGTCAAGGTTGAATTTGTCCACAAGCCAGTCCTTTGCTGGCACTCGCAAAAGCACTCACCATGGAGTTCATAGGCTGAAACCAGTCAAGGGGTTTAGGGGGGTGGTTTAGGGCTTAGGGTTTGGAGCCTTAACATACACTGCTGAAGGCAATGTGCCTCTAAGGGGTGTCGGTTATGTGCCGCTTTGGTCCCTGATGGACAGCTTGGGGCTCTTGGCATGCTGGGTTCAGGATTCAGGAACTAAGCCTATAGGGATTGGGGCTTGAGAGCTTAAGGCCTCAAAAGAGCCGGCAGACCCTGCAACAATATCCTTCTGCGATCCGGTAACAGCGTCAGTTTTGTGTAACCCCCGATGTGTCCGTTTGCCAACTGCCCTATAGGGTCGCGGGCCAGGGCTTTTGGAGTTGGAGAACCGCAGCATGCAGTACTCTATGGCTCTGTGTATGTAACATTTGCATACGTGTAATACTCTCGACTGATCGGAACAGGAGAACAGAAGATTGTCAGCAGAGTCCTTGCTGCGAAACATCGGAGTTGAAAAAGCAAACTTAAGCAACCCCAGTATAAATCCAGAATTGTAGGATCCCTGTTTCATAGGTCCCCAAAAGAAGTACCCCTGAACAAACACCATCGGTCGAAGCATCGGGCTCATCAGGCCACCCAAATATCCGAAAAGCTCTTAAATTAATCCGCAACTCGGATGGAGTTCCTAAAACAGTTCTTAGACGAAACCCTGAATCTTAAAACCCTTAACCTCCAAACAAAGGTGGGTCGATTCTCAACACCAAGTCGCAACATCGGCGGCGCTGTTCACGCACAGCAGCCTCGGTTGGCAGTTCGAGGAGACTTTGGCTACTGGGGTGCAGTGTCTTTGTTTCGGCTTCAGGCTGGGAATCTGGGAATGTAAAGTGCGAGTGATAGTTTAGGGCATATGGGTTTAGGGCTTCAGGGCTCGCGGGCTTAGGGCTTCTAAGGTGCTTTAACATTTTGGGATTCAGGGATGCTTGCTGCTAGTGCAATTAGGTTCAGGATTGATCGTTTGCACGGTTAGTACGGTTGAGGTTGGCGGAAACCCGCCAGTACCTAGTACCGCCAGTACCTAGTACCTGGAGCACAAACGACCCAGGTTTGGGGGAAGGTTTTTGGCCGTGGTCCTGAAATCTGCCGGTACGGTGATGGTGCTTTTTCACTGTTTGGGGGATCTACGCTGGCATAATCAAACTATATCTAACGAAATATATATAGCAATTCTCATGAGCTTTTCACTGCCAGGTCACTTCGCCAACTCTGGCTTCTTTGCTCCACCCTTCAAGGTGTCCTCAAGGGTTTCCGGGTCCCGGTTCCCCGCTTTGGGGTGTAAGGTGTTGGGTGCTAGGGCGTAGGGAGGATTTAGGGTTTAGGGTTCTGGCATCTGGTTTCGGGCTGTCCTGGGTAAAGATCTCTGCAGTGTCCGGAATGCCCTTCGCTTTCTGCGTCTTGGTGCCTGGTCGCAGAGGCATCTTCCCCGAAATCCTTAAATTGCAAAACCCCGCCGAAACCCGCCGAAGCCCTGGACGCTAACCTCCTAATCCCACTACCCGCCCCAAGTTCAGTTGAGGCTTTCGGCTCGTCGTTCGAGCCCGAGGTCAGGTCGGAGATATTGAAGGGGGCTTACTATTCAATTTAAAGTCAGGTGGCTCGAAGTGATGGTCCCTTGGGGAGCCCAGTCCGGATCATACAGGAACCAGTAACTTTCAGAAACCTCCATGCAGGCTGCCAGGCTCAACCTGCGAGGTTTGGACTCTTCGTGGCTCGAGGCTGAGGGCCTGCAGGGGTCAGGGATCCGATGTCCTTACCCTAACCGAGTCTCGACTTTATGGCGTTAGGGTAAATCCAGTACATCCCTACAAGACGACGAGGAAACCATCGCACAGACATGCATTGATGGCATGGTACTGTGTCGCCAACATACTGTTGGGACCCACTCGCCTACAGATCCATGGAAGCACATGGATACTGCTTGTTGTACCCGCACCCAACAAGGGCTTGAGCCTGGGGCTTAGGACATAGGAGTGTAGGGTTTTGGGTTTGGGGGTTGGTGTCCGGTGGGCCTGCTCCGTTGATACCGGAGGTGGCTTTTGTGCTGTTGCCACCACAAAAGGACGACTTGTCCTTGAGGCTGCGTAGGGCAAGGTCAAGAGGTTCATAGCGTCGGCGGGTCTGGGGTTAACAGGCTGGAGTCCGGCATGATGGATTTTTCCTCAAGGCTTTCGTGAAGTTCATCGGTGGGGCGGCTGATGCGTGCCCCAGTCGGCGTCACCCACCGTACTTCACAAGTCACTGATCCTCCACAAGAACCTGACCGGATAAAGCTCTATAAAGTTGTGTGAAGACCTTTAGGGGGCTCGGGCCAAACTTTCCTACTCGATCTTGCTGTCGGACCTCAACAACAGAACCGCAAAGCAGCTGCCGGATTTTCCGATGTCTCAGGTTAGTGTGGCTAGGGGTTGAGGGCTCAGTGTCTAGCAGTAGGATGTCGATACAGCAAGATCAACCAGTACAACCCCAATTACACCCAACTTCCCAAGTCTCTTGATGCTTCAAGTTATCTGTTCAGGGTTGTGCAACATGGGGGCTGCGAGATACAGCGAAGTACAGTGTCCCTTTTGCACCCCCCCCCCCCCCACAACAACTCCCCAAAAAAATCCAAAGAATGGCTGCAGACTGAGGCCAGAGCGAGCAAAACCACCCTACCGCCGTGCTCTACAACGGTGTTCGCGGCAGACATGCCTCGTCAGTTGAGGGGTTTGGGCTCAGGGAAGAGCGTCTGCACTGCAGGGTTATTGGAGCAGAGGACAGGGCTTTGGCCTGTGCGTTGCAGGTATTAAAGGTTCCAGAACTTTGACGAAATGGACGTGGACCACAACAATCTGGTGTATCAGGTTTCCTCCACCTGTCGCGACAAATCCAATATCTGGTGCAGAAGCTGCGTCCTAAGCCCGGATATAAGCGCATCATGTGTTACCACCATGACTGGCATTGTTACATCATCAACATCATCATCGTCACTAGCCACTAGCATCAACTATCACCATCATCGCGGTCACCGTCCGCATCATCAAGAGAAAGTCAACATGCTCAGTCATGACAACCATTGACAGACCTCATGATGACTGACCAGCCAACTCAATAGTTACGATTCCAAGAGGAGAAGTACTTGTCAATAAGACTATCAAATCGAAACGATGCATAGTCCCTTCACCCTTCTGCCCCAAAATCCCGAATCCTTGACCCCTTGACTCCTTGACTCGAAAACTCCAACCCCTAAATCCCTGAACCTCTCAAGACCAAGACCATCTGAGCCCCCGCATGCATCAGACCCCTAAAGTCCTACAGCCCTTCGGCCGCGTGAAAAAGCCGCAACTGCCTCCCAGGCCGCCGCCGACGACAATCGCTTGGTTCGTGGGGAACGAGCACGCCATGGTCTTCAATCACAAAACCTAGTTAGGGCTTAGCGATTAGTTCCAGGGACTCTCGGGGCTGCGGGGCGGTGGGGGTCGAGGGTTTGCGGTGGGGCTTTGGAGCTTTGGGGATTAAGCAGGAAAAGGCGATTGGCACAAGCATACGAGGGCTTGTTGAAGGGATGTGGTTGACTAATCGGGTTTACGGACATCTAGGGCTTACGGCTTTCGGGCTTCGGGCTTATGCTTCGCAACACCTGGAGCTGTGAGGGATTCAGATCCTCTAGGTTAAGGCTGGTTGTTAGGATTTGGAATGTTGGAACTGGGGAGTAGGGTGTGGGGTTTAGGGCCTGACACCTCAAGCTTTGGACGTTTCGAGACTGAGGCTGCGTTGAGGCTTGAGGCTTTGGGACTTCTTCTGATCTTCTTCCGCATGAGGCCCTGAAGCCCCTTGGCCATGAGAGGCCAAAACCGAAGCCGCCTAAACCCAAAGCAGGCAGCCCCGTTTGACCGAGGTGCCGCAGCCCACAGGAAGGGCCTGCATCTGTGCACTGCGGGTTGTTCGGGGGATTGTGGGTTTGCAAGTAATCGTAGTACGTCGTAGTACAGATGGAGCAACTGTAGCAGTGACGAGGCTCAAAGCAATTAAAACTCATTAAAACTCAACTCGCATACCCAACCTCAGGCCCGAAACCCCAACACCGAGCAAAACCACTAAAGCCTAGAGGCCCTAGATCCACAACACCAAACCACTCCATCCGAAACCCTAGAACGAAAGGCATATCAAGGGCTCCACGTGTGCAGAAGTTCCCAAACCCCCCTACACCTGGACCCCTTAAACCCTAGCCCCCGTACTGTGCCTCGAAGCTGGGCAATCAGTGCAGAGAAATGCCAGGAGCTTAAAAAAAGGGCTGCGGCAGAGGACATCAACAGCATGTCTTGGGGGCGTATCTAAGGGGTTCGTACTTGTTTGAAGAGCAGATTTGGGGAGTTTACGGATACACAAGCCTAGGTCCCAGACCCGGAAGGGTGATCTCCCCGAGCGAGAAGAGCTTTAAGGCTTTCGGTTTATCGGCTGGAAATAGCTACGATCTGACTTGCGTAGCCCTCACGCCGAGCCTCACGCTAGACACTAAACCCTGAACTCGGCACCCTCGACCCTGGACCTCGCGACTCTGAAATAAATCCCGTCCACTAAATGATGGCTTTTTTTGGGCCCACTTTGCTCCTCTTTGGGTGAACAAAACCGCCTTCTGCCGAATCCTACCAATCAACAGGGTTCAGGAAGAGTGAGGTTTAGAATCGAGGGCGCAGCGTAGTAGCTCTTGGAATCTGGGAAAGCAACATGGCAATCAGCCCCATCGTCTGAGCTTTGAAGCGCGCAAGGCCTATCAACCCTAAACAGACATCCCGAATCTTCATCCGCCAACCGAGAACACCAAACCTTGGACCGCAAATGCCCTGAATCCAAGGAGGCACAGGTTCCTTTTGGGCGGTAGCTCAGCTCACAGGAGCAACACTGCCGCCCCCATGGGACCTCTTCCTTACGGACCAGACAGAGAGACAGCGGCTGAACGGAACCCAAGAGCCGAAGTCTTAAAGCCCCATGTGATTACAAGTGCAGTTGATGGCTTTTTCGTACAGTACCGCTGTTGCTGTGTGATGCTATCTCAACTGTGTTATGATGAATGTTCGGAGGCGCGTACGGGGAAGTCAGCTCAGGTTCTGTTTAGGCCTTAAGGTTTAGCCTCTGTGCGTCTAGAGTTCTCCGAGGCTTTGCGGCGCTTCACAGGGTGCAAGTTGCCAAGGGAGCTTTGCACGGGCCGAGAAAAGTAGCCTCAGTGGTTGGAAATTCTTCTCCAGCTTACCCCCGAAACCGACACCTGCTGCCACAAGAGACGTCCTTAGGAGTCCTGGATGTATGGACAAGCCCACTGGCCAACAGCACTCAGAAGTCTACAGCTCAACAGACAAGTTCTAACAAAACTGTAGAGCCCTGCAATGCACACGTTGAGCTGTACCTTTAGAGCTTCATTGAGCCCCCGTACTCAGACAAGTATGGATCCCTGAACCCCAATCTAAACCCCTGTGCGACCCAGGTTAACTCGTGCCAAGTCTCTTCACTCGATTCTGCCCGGGATCTGGATCTTGGTCTCGTAGCCTCGGCTGCCCGAGGTCTTTTTGCTCTGGGACTTCCCGCCCTTTGCTAAACGTCGAGCATGAGTATGTGGCACTTCCCCTCCTGTGGCAATGGTGACAAGATTGGTGATGGTGACCATGCTGAAGGTGATGGTGCTTCGTAACAAATGCGCACTGCTTCTACGATTGTGGCGACATGTGCGAGGTGACCACCAGCACCATCGTTTTGGGCAGCATCGCTCCTGGCATTCTTCGTGCTGATTGTGAGAATGTTTAAGCATGCAAGCAAGCAAGCAAGCAAGCAAGCAAGCAAGCAAGCAAGCAAGTGGCTAGAGTATGGTCTTCGTTGCTCGATTCGGTACTCCGTTTCGTTCTGCTGCCTCTACTCTTACAACTTTTGGTGATCGCATAGCCCAGTGGTTGCTATAGTTAGCAACCTGCATGGAACAAGTCGACCGACTTTCACTAGCCGCTAGCCTGTCTAGTGCTCAAACCCTAAGCGCCGGAAGCCCCAAAAGCCCTGGACCCGAAACCTCCAAGTTGCTCAGTTTGACCTCGAGCCGAGCCGCCGGCGAAGGGCTTGGTGGCCATCACATAGAGCGGGAAGGAGATGTAGACTAGGCCCATGACAATCCTAGGCCGCTCAGAGAGCCCAACTTACCCCTCAAGTTTAAGGACGATTTCTTGAATTGCATAAGGCATGATTTACACTATGTTTCCTGATGGAAGCGTCCTGAAGATCCTTGACTTCAGGGCTGCGGCGCAGAGGCTTTGCTGCGTTTCGGAGCTCCGACATTTTGGGTTTCGGCAATGGCTGCTAAGCCGCAGGCCTGCATCCCAGCAGTTAGCTAGCTTTCGGAGCTCATACCGGAATCGCTGTAGGCTTCGGATGCAGATCGCTAGTTTGGGTAGGATTTGACCCTTGAGTGTGCAGGATTCAGGGGTCGCGATAGTTTATCCGGAAGCAGCCCATCCCACACATATAAACAAACTATAACAGATAATAATACCCCCCCCCTCCCCAAAAGACGTGTCAGAAGTGCATGACAGTCTGCTTTTGGTCCCTCATTCTATATGTGCAAGCACAAGCGTCATGATGCCGTAGCCGATGAGCTCCACTCGCCAGATGTGGCCCCTGGGAATTCCTAGCACCGGCGTCACCTTCTTCCAGCCAATGCAGGCGTGGTACATGAAGATGCAGACAGAGAAGATGTAGAAGAAGGACCAAAGGGGGTTCTTAAAGATCTGAAACTCCAAGGCCTTGGAAGTCAGACCGTCCACGTAACAGCTCGGATACCACGACTACTGCAGAGCACAACGCAGCAAGTGTCTGATGGAGACACTGAACAGCTGCCAAAAGCTCTCCAGCGAGCACATGCCTGAGGGCGGCACGTAGATGTCGCGCACGCCGACCTTCTCCACGCTAGCGTCGGAGGTCCAGAAGAGGTTCAG